TACAACGAAAGAAGACTGCGACCACACAAAAGCCTACACCATCTTGGTCTTTATACCTTCGATTAAACCATTATATTTCTATCTATGCTTATATATTAAATTTTTTTAGTTATGCGTGTATAAGAGTCATGGTAGACTTGGACATTTTTCTTTATCTAGTGTTACTTGAGACGTACAATTATGATTTACAGCTCGGATGATGTGGTGGACGAAATCTCAGCTAATTTTCACCCGAAACTACGGAGGTTATCTTTTGGACCTTATCAACCTAATCGTCATATTAAAGCCAAACGGCTGCAGTACAACGGGAATCAGTTGTCATCTAATGGTGACCTACAAATCTGTTATATGAAATGAATGTCCACAAGAATACATCTCATGTTTTTTACTTCATTTATATTTTCATCTATCGTCTCTCACCTTACTTTTGTGTATTGCTTTTTTCTAGCTTGTTGTCTTGTGTTTTTATCAAAACTTTTATTCAGTACTCGCATTCAAGCTTTGCAACCCGATCTCAAGGTTCTGGCTTTTCGTGTTGTAGACGAATGGCCTTTTTGGGGTCCCGTAGCTCGGCTCCGTCGTCGTCTTGTCCGGTTTCTTGCCCACTCAGGCGCAATGTACTCACCTGCTCGGCTTCTACGCAACTTCCCTTTTGATGCTTTTTTTGAGGAACGTGCCCTCCTTTTGGCACGTCTTAACCGACACGAGCAGGTATATCATCCTTTAAATTTAGAGACCCCACAAACTGCAGGAAAATGCATTTAACTTTCTGATATCTTTCATAAGCTTTCCATTTAAATTTACACGATCTTTCTCCCATAAGTGAATAGACAAAAACATTTTTTCTCTATTTGATTCCTTATTCCTCTCATTAAAGCATTTTGTCCACTACTAAATTCGCTAGCTTATTCTTAAACATTATGATCTAAGCCCTCAATTTTTAAAATGTTGCCAGCTTATTTCTCTGCTTCGTGTGAAGCGCTTGATTTAAATGTGATTTTTTCAAGTTTTTTCTGCTCAACCATTATGATTTCTATAAGATATATTAACCCTATTTCATTAAGGTGATGAAGGACTGGTGACTGAATTTTCCTACAATGATATGAGTAGGCCTTACCTTTTTGCTGAATTTTACCTAAAGTTATTTACACCCAGTGTTGACTGCAGTTTCGTCCTCGCCTAGGTCTCATTGCCACCCATAGTAGGACTCAGGCTGTGATAGTGTAGCGTATAATCTTGACACGTTAACCAATACGCCACACTACCACGAGTGTATTAGGATTACAGGACATATGTAAATTTCAAGGAAGGTCAGGCATTCTGTGATGAAATTGTTGATGAAGCAAAGTTGTATTTGAAATGGCAATCGACTACATCGTCAGAGCGGGAAAATATAGCGTACATAAATAGCGCAAATATACTAAACCGCTGAACAAGAGTAAGAGATTTGAAGTATCTCGAGTCTGGTTAGGGTCTTCACACCTCACATAACCTAAACAATGATTACCTACAGTATAAAATATCACATACCTATGTATGCGTCAACATTATGGACGACATCGACCTCCTTTTTATGCATCAGCTTCACTCATCTGCAAGCAGAAAAGGTAAGCTTGAAGTAACCAATTGGATCATTGGATGTTCCAATTAGATCGAACAATTAGATATGAGTGGCTATATTTGAAATCTGCATTCTTTTATCTTGGTTTTGTATGTTGGTGCAATTTTTCATAAACTGTGGTTTCCCGCTCTGGCGATATTCTTTACATGATAGACGAAAGCCCAGCATGTATTTTTCGGAGTCGCATGATGGTGAGCCTAGGATATCTTTACACAATCAAAAAATCTTCATTCCGAGTTATTTATTCTGTGTTCAATAGATTATTTAGAAAGTCTACAGAATATATGACTTGCATTCACTCCATTTTGTTGAAGGTGATAGGTGAATTGACATTTGAATTTTGCCACGATTATATGAGTAGACTTTACATTTTCATTTTATATTGCCTTGGTTTTTAAAGATGTATTCTCATCCAAAGTAAACTGCACTTACGACCTCGCCTAGGTCTCATCAACAGCCCCAGCGGGATTCGAACCATGACAGTGCAGGGTGTAATCTCGATACGTTAACCACTTCGTCACATTACCACGAGTGCTCTTGGGTCCCAGAGCAGATATGAATGTCTAAGGTCAGGCCAAACAGTCTCTGCAGAAGTGGGTTTACCTCGTTGTCGCAACTTGGTCTTGTCCAGGAGACTTAGTAGAACGCACCTAATCAGAGGTCCTCTGAAATAGTAGTTATCATAATTCCCAGCATCAGGTAGTGTACTGGGTACACTCAAACATTTCGCCGGCATCGTAGTCGACATCATCAGTGAGTGCTGCCACTCTCCGAACCAAGCTACGAAATCGTCAAAGAGACAAGTGAAGTCAATCCTTCGACCAACAATCTGTGGAAAACGGTTACACTATCAGTTCACTTTTTGTCTGGCTCAGCTATCTACTCTTTACCATCTTACCCAACTCCTGCCCTATGAGACGGATAAAGGAGTAGCTACAGTGATAATGGACAAAAATAAATACAGGCCCCAGTATAACTTTGGGGGCCTGGCAGTCAGAGCGCTAGGCTGCCGGATAAGCAAACCGTTACAGAAATTCGACATTATGGCCAAAATGTGCTAGAAGTCCGGTTGAGATTCAGAATGTGACCAGAGATAGGCGTCAACAGTATGTTCGTGTCACACGGGTTTAAACCCGTGAGGGCAATGCCTGATATCTGCAAGCATGGGAATCAGAGCCTATGTGCTCTGCTCGCTAGGGCGGCGGTGTACAGGCTTCTAGGGCCTTGATCTGCGGGACCATGAGGGGGATACGGATTGGAGGCCTGAGTCAGATTAGCCTATCGAATAGGAAGGCGTTGGGGTGAATCACAGGTGTGATGAGGCAACACTAGATTTGACACAAAAGGGCACACATTTTGACTAGTGGAATGTAAACAAGTGAGAATTTGTGACAGGGCGGGAGTTTGATAAGAGGATAAAGAGTAGATAGATAGGCCAGGACAGAAAGAGGAGTGATAGTGTAACCGTTTTCGACA